ACTATAATTGAAGCTTTTATTAATTATTTATTGTTTTTATAAAAACAATTTTTATTTTAAAATGACTTTTGTTTTATTAAGTTCAGAAAAAGATATTATATTTCTGTTACAAGAAATTTTCATTCTTTTTAAACTTGGGTCATATTTGTTTTTAATGTTTTTTTCGTTACATATACTTTATAATCACTCATATGTGTATAAAAGGTATGCTATAGTGAGTATTATTGCACAGTAACTATAATGTACTTTGAACTGTCTTTGGTACATACGTTGGAACCTTGCAAAAATGTGAAATATTTTGAAAAATACTCGGTATATATGCTCAGATCTACATATATATGTATATATATACATATATATACATATATATATATTATCGCAGATAAGCAGGAAAATATTGATTCCAAAAGTTCAATATATACTTATAACATGTATTTAAAAATGGCAGACACACCAATGAATATAATGTGGATAGTTAAAATTTATGTGCCACAATGTGTATATCTTTGAATGGGTAATGGTAAATTTCAGCTGATCTCTGATTTAGAATGTGACTGATACAACTATACTTTGTCATAAAAGAAATCAGTAAGTAGTATACATTATTTAATGTATAGTATTATGACACGCACTTCCTAAACTTTAACGATACTGGACATAAGGCAAGTCTGTATAACTTGATAAACTAAAACTGATTAATCTTTACTATATTTCGAATACTAGGTACAGTAAATTACAAACAGTTAAGGAACAAAATTAATTTTTAATAATACGAATAACATAATAGACTAACGAGAATCTCTTGACATTACATACAAAACGATGTAAGATTATATCAAGACTTTGTCTGCCTATGTGTAAAATTATAAAAAATCAATTAAGAAGTTAAGTATTTAATGATATAGACGTTTCAATCTACACTAAATCAATGTTACTTTCCATTTGTTTCAGACACCGGTTAAAATTACTCTTTATTCATTCACATAGACGAGGATAACTATCAATTACATGTTTCATTATATCCGCAAGAGATAAAAAAATTTGCAAATGTTTTTACTCGTTACATAGCATACAACAAACTATTCCACTATATTCTATCTACTATAACGATGATTTACATGCACTCAGTTGTACATGTACAAAAGCTTACAATCCTGTCTTTTAAGTGGCCTTTATAACGAGCATGGAGTGTATCTCACGTATAAGAATTTACAATCTTTCCAATCATTAAGTTCCATTATAGACAAACTTCGAAAATGTATTTTCCTACGATCTGGCTATTGAAAGTCTATTGTATGTGCTTGTCGCTTAGTGCTTCACCTAACGAGTATCGTTTGTCAAGTAACTTAAATCATTCTTATCCGTTCATTTCGTGACGATTCAGAACACGGTAATAGAATATTAAGTACAGTACACGTACACGCTAATATTAAATCGATTCTTCAATTTCAGTGTATAGAGACCTTCGAGATACAAGCACATCGCAATAACTTTGCTTATAGCATGGCTTGACGCTTCGAATCTTACGAACTATATCAAATAATCATCTAAAGCTATCCAGTTACATTTAAATGAATCTCTCGCAGAACACGAAAAAAATGGAAAAAAGGAAACACTGGTAAACGTAAGGGAACGTTCTGAGATTACGTTATTTATTCTTTATTTCTCCTTGTTTCGCGAAAGGGAAACGTTAACGGATAGTTCTGAAAAAAAAGAAAACTAAACGACACAAGTTCCCACGTTATAATTGTGCACACGATTGCTAATTAGATATTTCACGGTGAACGCGTCGCGGAGGCGCGCGCGCGCCTGATAATCCTAGGTATCATCCTTTTAAAAACAAGAATAGTGGAAAACCGAACATGAAATCGGAATCTCGTGGGAATCCGTGGTATCCTAATTTTTAATCGACAATACTCTCATTCCATCCACTATTCGGACTAATTAACGAACGTCGATAAGTGTCCGCACGAGTCGATCCAATTGTAAATACGAGCACACACCGACGAGTAATAAGATACAAGTGAACAATACGTCTAAATGATTAGAATTAAATCACATTAATTTATATATATATATATATATATATAAATATATATTATACATAAATATATATTTTACGCGTACGAAACAATGGCACCTAGCAGTCGCACGAGGATCACCGTCGATCGAGCATAAACGAGAGGTGTTTAATTATTCATTTTCCTCCATTAGTAGAAGAGAACAAGGAAATCGCGGCAAGCGTACTCGAGAAAAAAAAGAAATTTCATGACAATGTGCCAACCGACGAGTGGTTGTACTCCTATTAGCGAAGAACGAATAAATTTGTCCGAATGTTTCTCCTGACGTTCCGTAGTACGGTGTGCCCGTTCGTTTGAACCGCGATAGTTTTTAAATAAGTGTGAAAACCGTATTTTCCGTAGAATCTCGTGAGTTTCTCGCCTTACTAATTTAGTACTCTTTCGATAAATCTCATTGTAATCATAGGGGCGACGATTGATTAAATTAGCGTAAAAGAAAGAAAGAAAGAAAAGGAAACAAAACTACCGATCGTATGTATGCGTTCCTGCGTGTAAACGTGTTTCGTGTCGTCGGACATGTGTTCGCGTGGAACACGCTGAGGTGCATGTATGTAATTAGGGCTGCCCGCGATTGTTGTGCAAATGGGGAATTATCTTTGTCATATCTTCAACGTCTCGCGTATTATATTTTCGATACGTCTTTACCGGATCGAAAGTGAAGAGGACAGTTGCGGAGCCACGTTTGTATATGATTCCTGTCCACTAATTGTATCAATCGAAGCACATACTCTCTTGCGAATCGTTCAATCTCGTGAAACGTGTACAATTTACTAACGCGATCGATCAGTATTAAAAAAAAATACGGTTTAGAGGGGGAGGGCGGAGAATTGAGGAGTCGTTCTCGCGGGGCAATTCGATTCGTTTTTAGCGTACGCACCACCATTCTATTTGATATTACGTGACATTCAGCCGGGGTATCGAATTATCGGATACACGGGAGAGTAGACCTAATTAGTTCCGAATACACGGCGGAGCATGGGGTGTCCAACCCTTTGGCTTGTTCCGGCCGCGCCGAGGAAAGGGGATAATTGTCTTGGGGTGTAACGAGTGTTTCAACGGATTTACGTAATCTCTCGCTTTTGTCGGTCGTGAAGCTGTATGGTGTGTCATTTTAAAATTCTATAATTCCCCGGCAATGTTAACCCCTTGCTCTATTTCTTTCTCCGCTGAGGTCGATTCGTTATTAACGCGTTAAGCGCTCAATCGCTGATGACGCTGAATTATGAAAATGTTTAATAATGCAAGCTGATAATAGTATGACGCAGAGATTGTTACGCTGAATGATTAATAGTTACTGTTTTTCGTTGCTACAGGTCGAGATGCACTTAACGTGTTAATTTATCGGAAATAAGAGAAAATTCCAGTGTTATTCTACGCCAACGTGTACTTGAAGGTGTAACGATTGATAATCTATGTTAACCCTCTGTAGGCCCATACAACTTTGTAGTCACGTGTCAGTGTATTGGAATCTTGTTGGTTTATTTCATTTTGCACTCAAAGTGGCGAGTAAAATTAAACTTTTATACGCTCAGGCATGAAAGTTTAACGTCGTTATAACTTGAAAGTTACAAAATATATTCGTTCGATGAAATTATTGAAACTATTGAGTACATTGTTAACTCGTATTCATACGTGGATATTTATTAATTTTGTACCGCATAGATTTTGTTATAATCACGAACAAAAATTCGGCCCACAGAGGGTTAAATTCTGTTTGAAATCTTCGCGTATCGTAGAGCAAGGGGTTGATCATTGGCTAATCATTCGGGTTGGACACGCCTGCGAGTGTATCGTTACACGCGTATCCCGCGGTCGTTATGGTTCCGTTGTTTAGCAGCAATCGAGATATTAAAACGCTTCACGTGTAATTAGTAAAACGGACCGGACCCTTTTCAGAGTGCAAAATTAAACGTGAACGCGTACGGACGAACAGTTGAGCATAACCTACGTATGCGACTAACTGTGTTCCTTGTCGTTAGTGCCTCTCGATAGGGGAACTCATTGTATATTTTTTACGCGTTTTATCGTGTGTACATTTACCCTAAGTGCAATATTGTAATATATATTTTGTAAAGAATCGAACCCAGTATTTATTTTTCGGAGACACGTGCGCATCGACGAAGATGTAAAAGAAAAACAAAACAAACAAACAAACAAACTATTGTAATATCTAGGCGGCGTAGCGAGGAGACGGTCGCGAAAATTTTTACACTGGACGACTAAAAACAGACGCACGAATGGGGGAAAATTAACCCTTTGCACTCGAGAGATGATTCTCGCTCACCGTTTGATCTGATATAACAAAACTGCAAAGTGTATGATATTAACACATTGTCTGCGGGCCATTTTGTTCATTTCAAATTGTACCAGTTACATTCGACTCGTTTCTTTATTGTTCAACGTATTTTCGAGAGTTTCCATTGGAAATAGAAATACTTTCAATACGCGAAAGGTAACTATCTACTTTTATCTAAAATAATGAAGTTAAAGTGTTTATTTAATACTATACATGGAGATACTTTTACGTTTTCCGCATGTATTAACACTTAGCCAACCGAATGGGGAGATCTCCCATTTTTCATTTAGCAACGTATTGCCTTTTACT